AAGGTTTTCATTGAGTCGATATATATTAAAAACTAGCTGTGCCCGCGGTTTTACCCGCATGCAGTTTATAGTCTATGTATTATTCTAATGTATAAGCTATATTATTGTAAACTTTCATAAAAATCCGTTTAGTAGTTTTAAAGAGTAACAAACTATAACTCAATATTTTCTATCTATGTAAAATACGGAGGCTGTTTATTTTTAATGTGCGTCGTGATTTTAAACTACTGAAATAGGAGATTGGTTAATAAAGGAGACTAGTGGACCCCATTGTTAGTAATATACCATATTAGATCAACCATCACGCAATCCTTCTTGGAAACCATCGTGTTTAATTCTTGATGAAATAGCGTGGTGGTCCTACATACTGTAGTATCCCGTTATCGCAGGCGGGTGCTCTATTCAACAATCAGCCATTGAAAGCCTACTAATATAATCTAGAATAAATGGACTATGTAAATCTATCGTGATCTATATAGGAGTACGTTTAATTATCTATGGTATATAAACAGTAATAGATACGCGATACGCAATAATAAAATTTGAATAAAATAAAATTTACTTTGCTCAATTATTCTCGGTAATAATAGAGTTGTATTATTAAAGTTTACATTATACAGCGAAGTTAATCCAATTTTTTGATATCAATCGAGGGAAATTGCATTATCTAGATCGAATGACGATATCAGTAATTAGTGTGCCTCGAAATTGTTCACTCGCGGTCGTGCCGCCTCGCGAGATAGTATTGTGATAGTGGATGGAGTTAAACGGAAAAAAATACGACACCCACAACAATGGGTATTCTTACACGTGAGTTAAATTACTATTAATTCAGCTGATATTATAGATGCTATATAATTAATGAAGTAGAAGATAAGCGTGAATAAATCCCGCAAAAATATGTATTTAGTCCTTTATGTTTTGTTAGCATATACCTATATATTATTTTCTTATGAAACCTATATCTATATGTAGTCCTTAAATAATATAATCAATTTTATTAGTAGATTATTCAAATTCGTAAGATCGTATCGAGTGTTGGTATGAAAATGTAAACTAAAAGATATTGTTGTATTTAAAGACATAGTTCTATTTAGTAAATGAGAAGAAGAAGAAGAAGAATAACGAAAATAAATATTTTAATAAGAAAGTGTAAGCGAGATATATAAATAAAAAAAAAGTTCATACAATTTATCTTTATATATATTCGAATCAAACGTACTATCACGTTTGATTCGAATATATACCTGCCTACTGTTGCCTCTTGGAATACATAGTTTCATCAGTATTTTCAGCACCGTAGCTTTAATCACATATATAAATTTACACACAAAGTTTATTAGTTTCAGCCAGATTCGAACTCGTGACCTTTTTCAGCGAATTAAACCACAAGACCAAAACTCTTTCAGAAATAATTTTATACTAATATATTTAAATTAATTAGAATATAAACTTCGCAGAAAACATTACACTAAAGATATCGTGATCTGCACCTATTAATATTGAATCGACCTTAGTTTTCTTATGAGCAATCGTCATTTAACGGATTAATGTCATTAAGTTAATTACGGCCTAATTATGGCATTATGTTGGTAATTGATCCCGGTTCACGGGAATTATTCTGTTGCTGTGTCGGCAGCATTTGTATTGTCCATTGTGTAGAAAGCACTTAAAATATGTCCCAAGCGCTAAAATTATGATGGAGTACTGATTAATGACATTATTATCATTAATTCCTCGCGCTCATGGTAGCTTGTGACAACGTGGTTTGGGTTCCGACTCCGAAGGGTGCGAGTTCAAATCTAACTTTATATGTCCATTTTTATTTCTTATATCTATATTTTGCAGTGATAGCAATGCTTATTGGATTAAGTTACATAAATTCGTTACCGCCATTTTTTAAATGATACTTGTGATCAATGGCAGCTGCCATATTATGTATATTTTAAGTGAGATTCCTAGAACACTTTTTATAATTATTATAATACAATTTGGTCTACGTATTTTTTAAATTTATTTCATGTAGGTAACCGATAAAATTGTTTTATTAAATTTTCTAATGTTATCTGTTATTTTTAATTTAAAGTAATCATTTTTTAAATACCGATATATATAGGTGCGAGTAGTGTGTGCAATTTGTACTTTTTGAATAATTGTTTGCAGATATCTATTCACTTATAGCTAAATGAGTTACAAGCAGTCGTTAAACATATCATGTGAAGATTTTCTGAGATATCCTTTAGTTCACAGAAAGTGAAAACACGATAATATTATTACTAACAGTTCTCGAGTAATCTGTGAATAACGTGGTGGGTTACATACATATTTGTCGTTTCAATATTCATGATTGTTAGCGTTATTCTACAATATTGATTTTCTAGTCCATTGCTTTACTTCCGATGCTCTCGAGTTCGATTCCTCGCATGGACACGTGTATCCATGAATATGATTCTACGTAACGGTCTAGGTGTTTTCTATAAACATTATGTATCTGTGGATTTATATCAGTTATCCAGTAGCTATAACACAAGCACTGCTTATCTTAGAAACAGATGGCGCTGTGTGAATTGTCCAAGGATTATATTTATACATATGTAATTGTTTGTTGTTCCAACAAAAATAAATAAAGTCGAGTCAAAACCAGGAAATGCTAAGTATATCCATACCTACCTGAATGATTGTTATTGACCAAACTGTAGGTACATCTTATCTATAGTATCTACATGTACCAAGAATCTATTATCACAGCGATGAAGTAGTTGTAATAAAAGATAATGTAATTATAAGTACTTTTTTAATTAATATCAATATATATTAATTGAAATTTAAAGGATTTTATGATCATAATCATTTCAAAGTCATTTCAAATACTTTTTGTATTAAACATATTAAGTACTAGGTGTTACCCGCGACTTCGTCTGCTTGTAGTTTTAGATAATCTTGTATTCATATCATTTTATTAAACCATTTGAACAGGTAGCAAAAAGAAAAATACACTTTCGAATTTGTTACATTAAAAAAATCACTTACTATTATATATGTCCCGCAATGCAATTAGCATTTTCCCCTTTGTTTTTTTCGCTGAAAAGTTTTTTTATAGTTTATGAGGCAAACGGCGTAAACTGTAAAAAAAAGTTTTCAGTGGTAAAGTAACTGGAAACAACTAGTTTCTTATAAATGCTCACACTTAACCTTTTTGCGGAGAAAAAACAACAAATGATCTAATTCAATCAAACGCTGTATTCATCACGTCAGATTATTCAGTGGAGTCACGCCACTCCCGAGTACGGGGGCCAATTAATAATTAACGTACAAATTGATTTCATCAATTATATACAATTACGCTTCTTGCTACAACATGGTGAATACCCACTTTGAATGCTGTATAAGTACATTACATTTTCCTCTATAAAGCACACACGGTATAACGCGTTAAAAAGTTATTGAAATGATTACCCTGAAACAGTCGTGTCAAAGATATGGCCCGTGGGCCGCTACTGGCTCCCGGCGATCGCAATGTGATAACAACCGTATATTATCTTATATATAAAATTCTTTTGTCAAATGTTAGTTATCATAATCCTCCGAAACGGATTGACTCATTTTTATAAACTTTCATATGCATACTCAGTAGATCTGAGAATCGGCTACTACCTATTTTTCATACCCCTAAGTGATAAGAGTTGTCCACACCCACACATATTTTTTGGACAAATAAATATATTTATAATGTAGCATTAAAAAATAAATACAACCCTAAATTTACTTTTATTTACCCTTTATCATCAACCCCTATTTTTTAATAGCGTATTTAATTTATATGGCAAAACAATGTTTACGGGACAGCTAGTATACTATATATAAATAAATAAAATATCTTTCAGTACATTTTTCAATTTATCTGACCCGCCCACGCATTCTAAATTATAATATCTGCCTTAAAATATAGTATATTGTCTGATAACAACGGAATGTTACAGTTTCGGAGTCAGATGAAAAACAGAATGATGAGAGAAGACAACCAAAATAGATCCTCAAGATACGAACGAAAAAGTACTATTTTTGTGCAAAATCCATGTATGATGATCGTGTATAGGGTTTTTGTTTCGTTTCGATGAGTTGATAGCTGATAAATTTTGTAATCAAAGATTCGTACTGAAATCAAATCAAAATCGCACCGAATAGATGACATAAATTTTTACCTTATCGTTATCAACGTGTTACGTTACTGAAATTTACTTATGTTTCTACTTTATTTATTATTAGTGTGAAATTTGAGACTCAATTGATCGTGTTTAATATTGATATTATTGTAATTTTTATCAATCGATTACGGGAAGAAGTCATCATACTTAATGATTATGAAACCCGATGAACGCAATAAATTTACGTGTATACTTATCTAAATTTGTTGCTCCGTTGATAAGAAATAAAGAACTGTTTTAAAATTATAACCATTCTTTAAAATTGGGGGATAATATAACCCTATTTCTAATAATGTTACTTAAGTGTCAAATGTCGATGCGGTGTTTCCTGGATCTATTGTAATTATTTTAACAGTGACTGCAATGCGATTTCACGTAGACTTAACTTGCCGGTAATTCTGTCATCACCTAATTATGTCTGGTCGTCAGCTGTTAGCTCTAAAGAGTATGTTATTCCATTATTATTTATAAACTCTTTAAAGTTTTCTATATATTGTATTAAGTGCTCATTCATTCATAATTTAAGAACCGCGCTCTTATCGGTGGAATTTTTGCCATTTTCCATTTCCACGTTTTATCTCTTTAGTTGTTGATACGATACGACTCCAACTCTTTTCTTAATCTGCTTGATATAGCTGTGTCTTGGTCTTCCTCTTCCCCTCTTTCCTTCTATTTATCCTTCGATAATATTACTCATAATTTCCTCTGTCATATCAAGTGCTCCAACATTTTTCCTCCCCTATTCTCAATAATACTCATACACAGCAACAAATAAACAGAACCTTCCTCTTCCAGACTACTTCACTCACGAGCATCCGTACCAAAAATACTCCAGTATGGGCATCTCGGAGCCGCCGAAAGATGACTCGCCCAGAACAACTCCTGAGTTAACAAGAGCAGACCAGTCCCCAGCGTCAGAACGACCACCGCCGGGATCGGCGGACAGTGACGACGCTGATGACTTTGCGCCAAAAAGAAAGCAACGGCGATATAGAACCACGTTCACCAGCTTCCAACTAGAAGAATTGGAGAAGGCGTTTTCAAGAACACATTACCCTGATGTATTTACCAGGTAATTTTTATAATAAAATATAACTAATAACATGATATTTTGACGTAAATACTATATATTTGATGGAAGTTTAAAGTGTCCTGCCACAAAATTACATACTTTTATATGGTTTGATAACAAATAAACTCTACCGATTAAAAGAATTCCAAGAATTTGGTAAATAATATTATCGGATTGGACACCGACGTCTCTTCCTACGTATCTATGAATCGTATATATATATATATATATATATTTTATTGTTAAAATATCAGCACAATCAATCAATTGGTGATACAGTCATAAACGAATGAGTTACTTCAGTATAAAATTCATGTAAATTTTAATCACACTTAGCTGAGTTACGATAACATATAGATAAATCGCAGGTGCATAATATTAGTTGGTGCTAGAACTTTACGTTGAAACTGCGCAAATACCTTCAATCAATCTTTGTAGATAAAAACAAAGTGCCACCCACCGACTGATCACGGCATTTCTAGATTCAAAGTAATCTGTACCAAACAGTTGTTTTTGAAGTTTTATTAAGATTGCAAGAGTGTGATGGCTCCTGGAAATTTCTAGATACGGAAGCAATCTGATATCTGATTCGTATGATGTATACACCTCATGCGGTCCCATTCTATTTAATCCATAATGGTGTAGTGTCATGTATAAGTGACGATTGCCATTTTCCATAGCTTACTTGTCGTTCTAATTTTGAAGGAAGTCCAGTAAAAAATTAACTACTTACTGCAATTTAATTATATTTGTACAAAATTATTACTCAAAAAGAATTACATGTTATTAGTAAAAAAAACATGGATAAGAATGTAATTTGTTCTCATCAAAATGTCCAAACATAATCTTGAGTGTTTTAAAATACATTAGTTATCGTGTATTACGAAAACGAGCTTGTAATATTACGATAACGACAATAAAGAGCATAAACTTGTTAGGACGTAAATTGATAAGGTCCTTCCAAAAGGAGTTGCTTAGGTACATGTTAATGTATATTTATAGACACTGCATCTTTGCTAATCTGTGACAGAGCTTGTTGATACTGTATTTGCTAAGTGGACATCGGATTAATGCGTTGTATATCTAATTCTTGGTTCTGATCAATATATATATAGTAGCTGACCCGTGCCAACTTCGTTGGGTGCTAAACATTTTTACTTGTCAATTAACGACCGCCGAGAGTAGTGAATTATTAGGGGTTGATAATAGAAGGGCAAGAAATTTACGGTGTATCCATTTTTAATGCAAAATTCTAAAAAAATATACTGAATATTCACTGTTTCCTGAGCACTTAGGAACATGAAAAATAGTCTAGTATAATGTATGTCCTTTTGCTACCGAAATATATTTTACGAAGGAAGCTGCTGGCGGATGCAATAGGTGAGATGAAGGTACTCACGCAGACCACAGTTTGCAGTTTACAACGGTTATTTTTAAATAGATTAATAGGTAATTTATTATACATACATATGTACATATATATAAATATACATAATTATATATCAAAGAAGTGTTGTCGACGTTGTATTAATAAATTTAATACGATTTATTATGATAACGTGTAAAATACTATCTTTGTGAGGGACGTTGCGTCACAAAGATAATATTTATATAGCTTAAACGTGCTAGTAAGTTTATTGTACAAACCCTCAACAAGTGTAATGAATGAAATTATATATTTTAATCCAATTTATAAGACTGACGGCGTCGGTGATCTAGGGGTTTAAAACACTTACTTTCCGATTGTCGCGCGTTCGATTACACGCGCGGTACAATTATTTGTATTCTTGATTATGATTGTATATATTGGTCTGGGTGTTTTTTTTTTTCATGGATGGTAATATGGAATGGTGCTCCCGCCTGCGCTTATGCTGGCGGGCACTATGGAGGAGGATAAGATGAGAATGAAATCAGGTCGGCAAACTGACCTACATTTTCTACCTATCGTGATTAAATAACTAGGAATAAACCACGATGGTTTCCAGGGGGAACAACGTGGAAGTCGACCTGACATGGTACATTGCTAGCCATGGGGACACTAGACCCCATTACTAGCAATCGGCTTCCCTCCTGGTCTGGGTGTTTTCTATGTACATTATGTATGTTATATTAGCTCTGCTTAGCTTAGGACGAGATAACGCTGATTTTTCCAGGGTTATTATTATATAGAAAGTTATTGTTATAAAAAATTCCAGAGGATTCACGTTTCACGTCTCCTTACCTTACAATTTCACTGCCATATCTCACCCTTCAACAGAAACACAGTTTACCTACAAAGCAAGCTGTGCGGCTAAAATAGGTAGCTTTCACATATAACCTTTAAGGTAACAATAATTACATCTTTAAAATGGTGTAATCTTAAAATTTCTTTATACCTCTTACATTTTATATTTCATCTTTGTTTCAGAGAAGAACTTGCGATGAAAATTGGATTAACTGAAGCTAGAATACAGGTAAATATTTTTTAAGCAATTAGAATAGCAACATAAGATGTAATGCATCTTGTCCCGTAATTTTACTTTAATCTCACTCTACAACCGAAACATAGCTCACAATCAAACTGCTTGAAGGCTGATATAGATGAGACTGAGGTCTCACAGGTGACTACAAAATTATGTACGTGTAATAAAAAAATTAGAGAATATAATTTAAAAAAATTAAGATACTAAATAAAAATTTACACTTTATTTATCGGTCAATTGTAATTCCAATAATTGTAAGAGAAAGAAACTGGTACCTAAAATACAGATTTCTACTTAGTTTGGGTACCAAGTACTACTATAATTCCAATAATTGTAAGAATAGAGAACTGGTATTTAAAATACAGGAAAAATGTAACATGTAAATAATAGATTAAAAATAAAATTATTAATATTATTTGCAAATAACTCAGTCTACAAAATTTACAAAAACAAAGCAGTGTAATAATGATATTATAAGAATAATCACAGTATAGTTATGTCTAAACAAAGCCTACAATTGCTTTGTATATACTCGGTAAGTGCTAATTTCAAAGGACCCGCCGTGATAGCCTTTAATCAAAGCTCACCGAATCGAATGAGGCTTGAATCAAACTGTTCACAATTACTATGTTGCAAGCAACATTCAACCTTAAATAATAACTGGAGACGCCATTAATTATTGAGCACTAAAATAATTCTACTCGTCCCCGTAGATTATTATAGTACCGTATCAACCAAAACTAAAATTTGCCTAAAACTGGCCTAGCCATTTCACTCGCATAAAATTCATAGACTAAGTGTTATTCTGTGGTTTAAGCTATATTACTGGAAAGTTTTATAAAAATCCGTTCAGTAGTTTTTACGTGTAAGAGTAATAAACATATTTCGGCATTCACAAACTTTCGCGTTTATAATATTAGTAAAATTCTCCATATGAAATACAAATTTTCGTCCCTAAATTCATCCAGTATAGGTTTATTTTCACAATGAAAGTTACTCTATGTTCATTGCCAATGTCAAATACTTTAAAATTAGTTCAGTATATTTTAACAGTATAGATTAACATACCTTGTTAAGAGACATTGTGACTTACGTTCTTAATATTAGTATGGATTAATACAGACATGATCTACTCTTGTACACAGCCGATGACTTGTATTTTAATTAACTTTCAGTGTAGGTAATTAATTTATAGATATTAATTATTACGTTATCTTAATTGCGGTGTCTTCAATACCAGTATTTCCTTATCGGAATTGCATGCGAACGAACCCAGTTAATTGCAAAAATAAAAACACTTATTTGCGGGACTTAATTGTATACTTGTTAACATTTTAGTTTTCAATTTTATTCATTTCAATTAATTTAACCAACACACATGTATATATGTATTTAATACTATAGGAGTACCGATGTTTACTGGAGGAATATTGCTATGTTTAAGTTGTTATAATAATAATGAAATAGAAAACGAAATAAAGAATTCATTGTACAGTGAATTTAATAGTGACGCCACGGAATGTTCGAGAAGAAATGAATAAATGTATATAAAGTAAAACAAAACAATATCGATTTTCCATGCGTGACGTTCTAAATTTGAATTTTATAATTTTATTTGTAATTCTATTTATAATTTTATTATATGGCTATTTGAGATCGCAAACAATCGATCTCACATGTTTCTTCTTCAGCGAAAAATATGGCTAAGCTGTGTTTCAATTTGAAGTAAGAAATGCAGCAATGGAATTAGATACGCCCTTTATTGTCTAGTGTGGATTAGCATGCCGCCTTACCATGAGGTTCATTACTTCTTTTAATGTCGAGATTCCTTTAGAGAGAGTCATTAGTCTGTATGTTTTCTATGTATATTGTGCAAATATTTAAGTATTTCTATCAACGTTGTTTGAATAATAGTTTTTGACCTATATTTATAAAAGAGGATAGGCATGAAGCATGATCCATTCGACCTTAAGATTAGCAAGGTTTCATAGGACGATGTAATATCTTCTTATATATAAAATTCTCGTGCCACAATGTTAGTTACTTACTTGGCTTGACCGATTTTTATGAAATTTTATATGTATATCCAGTAGGTTTGAAAATCGGCTTCATCTATTCTTTATACCCCTAAGTGTTATCACTTAACCCTAAGTGTTAACCCTTATGGGTTGTCCCCTCATAACATTATTTTTTGTATATTTTTTTTATTTCTTCTTAATTTTCACAAACCTCACCAACCCCTATTTTTTAACAGCGATTTTAATGTATATACAATAACAACGTTTGCAGGGTCACCTAATATATATAGTACATATGTATAGAGAGCTGACAGCCCTCTCCTCAAGTAAGCGTAATCTTGCATACCATTCTAATCACATAAAAAAATATAAGTTAAATCAATCTCAAGTAATTACAACATACGTATATAGATAAGCATTGATTGGTTGGATTACGTGCAATGAGATACGTGAGATGCATAACACCTTAGTTCCCAGAAAGCATAATGATTCCAATAAGGAATACTATCATAGATGATCTATAATGCAAGCCATACACGCTATGAGAGAAAAATCGCTACAATTCCAAGCATTTGAAATGCAAAAGTAAATCAAGGGTTCATATGGAAAACTATAGCGTTCTCATAGTATAACCTAAATAGTGCTATTAAAGCGATTTATTGTATTATGTGTTTCTTGCATTACACGCGTGGTTGCTCTACTTGTTAATAAATAAATTTACGACGTTTACCAAGTAGAGCATCCTCTTTTTTCACATTCTTAACTCTTACCTTTTTATGCAAAAAAATATAGAATCTTGTATAAAAATTCATCAATAAAAATGGTGTCATAGTTGAACACTGTTTCAAGCCATTAACAATCTTCGATTACTCTCTCGAAATTATGTCTGTCGATTACTGATATTTTTGTTATTTTTAAATTTATATTTTTGAAGATAAATGTTATTTGATATAAATATTTACAATCATCTGCACATATTAAAATGTTTACAAATGCGAAATTACGTCTGTCTGTGCCTATACTTGTTACTTTTTCGCAACTAAATAGATCTTAAAAAATTAATCAAGAAGATAGATTGTATCGCGAGGATAAAGCCTTTATTTTATCTCAAAATGAAGCAGATTAAGTAGCAGGTAATGCTACTTAATCATGATAATATACCATAATATTACCACTAATAATGTAGATTGCAATAAAAACAAACGTGTTGTAATTTTTTATACAACATTTCAATATACATACAATAAAATTTTCGCATTATGCATTTATTCATTATTGTATTATAATGACAATATGCAAAAGCTCAAGTTCACTATCATGACAATGACCGTCCTTCCGTTTGTCAGGGTATAATTAACTTCTTCAAGTGCTTATCTAAAAGTAAATTATGTCTTCATAAACTTAAAAAAATACTCATAAAAAGAAACCATTAAAGTAATTACCTAAAAAAACAATGTGAAAAATATTTAACACCACTATGTTTAAAGCTCGCTTCAAATAGTCATACAAAAACTATAATTAAAAGCTTTCACAAGTAGTTAATAGATAAATGCTAAAAGCAATGATAATAAATAAATGCGCAACTTATTTAGTATAATGATAAGAGGCGAGAAGGCGAAACTTAATGACACAGTCTTTATGGCTCCATTTTTCAGTATCCAGTTTATTGAATGGGTTATTACTGTCTTGTATTACAACTTACTACTAAGTGTCTACCATATTACTGTAAGCACCTAAAACTACGCACGCAATCATATTAACTAGCCTTTTTTATTTATATATTTACAACATCGATTGTTTAACGGTTTTAGTATATTGTCTCTGTTCCTGATCACTTTGTCTTCAAACATTTTTATTATGAGTATGTTTGTATTTTAGTTTATACTTATATAGACGACGATTACGGATTACCATTAGGTGGGCCGTCAATTTCTTTGCTATTCCAATTACATCAAAAAAAATTGAGAAGTAAATCAGAATCAGCAAAACATTAAGGTTCGTTCGGATTTGTTATTATAAAAAGAAATACGAGCTTCTTTACATTTCATGGATTCATGCCGGGTCCATTGTGCGGCAGAGAGGAGAAACTCCGAGCAGTTCCCGGGACTTGTGACCCGGGTACGGTTAAGGCTTTTGCCGACGTACATCAATACTCACCTTCACAGCTCGTATTTCACCACCTACCTAGGCAATTCCAATAGAAGCCTGCCAATGCTGCTTACAAAACTTTATGGAAAATGGAAATATTACACATATATAGACTCAGTTTATTGCCGCGGCCTGCAATCTGCACTAGTCACATGTCTATTGCAATTATAAACGGTGGAAAACCTGTACTCGTTATACTAGAAACAGATATCTAAGACGTCGCTCGCATATCGTCATATCATATCTCATTTACAAAGTAACGTTGAAGGAACTAATTCTCTTGTATACAGTATGAGCAAAAAATATAATATTTAGTGATTAACTAATAAAATGAGTACTAGTGCAAATCAATTTATTTACATCTGTATTATTGTATATATATCTATTTGCGCCATTATTGTCTATGTTAATATTACAAAGTGGAAATATTTAATTATTTATTTGCATTGAATAGGCTCCGTGGAACATTGGACCGATTTGAAAAATTCTTTTACCATTACACATCCTACATTATCTGTGATGAACTTAGGTGATAGAATATTAAAAAAAGTTCAGGGATCCGTATGAAACATTCCATAATGTAACACAACGTGTGAACAAAAAACCTTTTTAGCAAAATTATGTAAATTTATTTACTTAAATGTGTAATTTACAAAAACACTTATATATATGTAATAGTGTTTTTGTAGTAGCTTCACACGCATGTGCAAAATATGACGGTTATTTAACTATATGCATATATATTATATGTACATTTAAAACTTTCAAAGTGATAGATAAAATTGTATCAAATAGTTTGGATGGTTTACAATATGCAAATTAAGAAACTTGAAAACAGTGTCTTTGCTCTATACTATTTATTATATATGTAGGTGAATATAATGAATTTACTAAAAATAAAAATATATTAAAATTTATTTAAAAATCGAGTAGAGAAATTAATGAAATGAACGAGTAGAGAATGCGGAAATTATAATCTAATGAAGCCATCTATTGTGGAGGTCTATCCGTCTCTTATAGATAGATATGTTGAGATAGGAACACACACTAATAATCATAATAAAGAAGAGAACTACAATATTCTACAGTAAATTTGGCGCTGACACTGACTGACAGTCCGTCAAGCGCTATTTTAAGCACTCCACCGATTTGATAGCTCCGAGCCCCAACAACCTGGTCATTACCTTAATGCGCTACTCTGTTAAGCTATTAAACTCGGCACCTGGGTCGCAGTCGGAGCCTTTTTGCACTAACCATACCCGACATTCCGCAGGCATGTTTGCTTCCAATTACAACATATATAAATTCACGAGCAACAGCCCCGTATGAAGTCATATTAAAAATGGCCATTGTAAACTTAGTAGTGTATTAACATACACTCAAAAAGAAACCTTAAGCTAAACACCTAAAATTGAAATTGAACTAGAATTTGTAACTGTAAACAGAGCGAGCGTTTCTTGTTTCACGCAGCATCCGCTAAAACTGCATCGACATTTACAGAATCGCTTTAATTTTTTACGCGGCTACGTTTATCATAAGTGAATTAATTTAAATTGCCATAAAAATACCAGTTACCATAATGATGCACAGTTTCGTATAGCTTATTTATTCGGTCATAAATATTTAACGTTATAAATATTGCATGCGATATTGACCGTTCATATATCAATTTTTACTACAGCGGATTGTTTAGTTTCGATAAGCGAACATTATGAATAGTTTTTATTGGCTCGCAAAATATGTTGTGCTGACTTGAAGAGTACACTAAGTATTACAATATTACTTTTTATTTGCATACTTTTAATGAGGCAATAAAAAACTGGATGTGTTTATTAATGAGTAATTGTGTGATAAATTTATTCATATTACATTGTTGCAATGGTTTTAAAAGATAGAGTAATATAATCTTAAAATTATTCAGACTTCAATGAAGATGCTTGGCATTATCTTACAAAATGTAGTAGAGAGAAGATGAGAGATGTAATTATTTTTTACCCCTGCACAATTCACACGGTGCCATCTAGTTCTAATGTAAAACAGAACTTGTGTTATGGGTACCAGACAACTAATAGAGACACTTAGATACATTTTTTTATTGCATATTTTACATAGAATATAATAATAATGTAATATAAATGTATTACAGATATTTTCATTGGCATTAAAGTTTGTTTGGACGAAAAGAAAACTCCATTGTATATATATATATATATATATATATATATATATATATATATATATATATATATATATATATATATTTTATAGAAACCTTAATTTCCTCCACTGCCTTTAATATCTACTGTTTCATTTTGTCTTATTTATGTTTGATAATAATAACTCTAAACTTAAATATCTGTTACGACAGTTCGATATCAACCTAACCACCAATCTCCTTGACAGTGTTGTCATCTTACATTTCATTACCAGTATTAACACAATATTTTATATAAAATAAAACTCTATTTATAAAACAAAACCTAAAAATAGGAAGAATTACTACTTTTCTAAATATTGTTATTTAAAAAAATCCTTGTATTGAAGATATTTTTTGCATTACAGGTGTGGTTTCAAAACCGGCGTGCGAAGTGGCGCAAGCAAGAAAAGGTTGGACCACAGGCTCACCCTTACAACCCTTACCTGGCAGCGGGAGGCGCGGCTCCCCCGCCATCTGTAGTTGCGTCTATGCCTAATCCGTTCTCACAACTTGGGTTCGGATTTCGGAAGCCTTTTGATGCAAACGCCTTAGCATCTTTCAGGTAGCTAATACTTAATACTTAAACTTAATTAAGAAATTCACAGGATCTTACCACGTTTTATTTATTTTTATTGCCGAACATACACAACACTGCCGAAATATCGAGAGATCAATTACATATATTATAAAACGCGGTAAGATCCTACGATATTTTATCATTTGTATTGCAAAACTTGGAGTTTACTTGTTAAGGTTGGGTTCAAAAGAACTTGTATTCAGAGGCGTAAAGCATAATAAATTTAAAAAAAAATTACTTTTAAATATTGAGCAAATTTAAAAAACGAATACTATATCTATTTATTACGCGACCACAGCAAAATGTGTCTTCTTTTTCTACACGTAGCAAATTAGTGCTTGAATGACGAACAACGACGACTGGAATTGAGTTATAGTCATAACACAAATCTAATCGGTTTGCTCTTGAAGTCTTTTAAATCAAATTTAATTATCAACATTAAAATATGATGATTGTGTTGCAATTTTCAATAGAATACCTAAATACAGTTCATTAATATATTAAGATATATTAAGATATGTGTTGCTGATACTAAATAGTTCGATGATCTCATCAATCTGTCTCAATGATGACAATAAGGATATGTATGCACTTCATCTATAAACCAATATCAATAAAACACTGATTAATAGGAATGATAGGAAGTGGAATCATTGGGTAAGTACCCAATGACGTACTTCAAGCAGATATAATTATATTCCGCTGAACTAGTTATTAGTCACATTATATACAAACTTAGTCAATAAAACATATGCTTACATATAAATGCGAGTACTTATTCACCTCGTTAAATATATTTATCAGCGTTAGAAACTACTAAGTAAATTAGTAATTTACAAGAATTACTTAGTGTTCACGTCATTTAATATCTTTGTAATTATTTAATGACTAGATTTGCCCGCGACTTTATGCGCGTGTAAATTTGTAGATGCCAAATCTGAACCGTCATCTATTGATGATAGACAATCAGAAACTATAAATAGTACATCTATATAATGCTATGTAATATTTTATTCATAAACAATATTTATTTGACCCTTAATTAAAAATCTATTACGAATATATAGTAATTCATCTACACAATTCAACGTGAAACAAACAGTTTTAACCTCGTCAAGTTTATTATACTTATGTAAAGATAAAGATGATGTAACCTGTTTAATTAAGACACTACCATCAATTTATACGCTATTGTTTATACAGGTACGCAGGCGCGCCAGTCCTAGGGGCGCAGTACCTCGGAGCGCCACTGCCTCGGCCGCCTCTCTTCAGTGCACCGCTATATTCCACGCCGCCACCCTTTCACTCGCTTCTCGCGGGGCTCGCAGCGCCCCCAAGACAATCTCCGGATCCGCCCCCAGTCTCTCCCCCTATATCTCCAGGGAGCGAATCACCCCCAAGTGGCCAGTCGTCAGTTCCAGAAGTTGAGAGACGAAGTTCCAGTATTGCAGCTCTTCGAATGGCTGCAAGAGAGCACGAATTAAGGCTAGAGATACTACGGCAACGGCATCACAGCGACTTGATTAGTTGAGTTTTGAAGGGTTGGACTCCAGTGTAATACTTACAGTACCCAGTTTAGGTACGAAACGTAAACTCTCAAGTTTATAAAGCCTTGTAAGATAACTATTAGTAAATAGTAGATTTTATATGACAAAGTATGTCAGGATTTGTCAGGATTTTGTTATTTATTAAAAATATGTAGTAAATGGGTATTACCACAACGATTTCAAAGGTACATTTCTGCGCGTCAGTTTCTTTAATGCAATTATAAAATGACTTATATGGAATAATTGTATTGTACATAAGTCTACTATGATTTATTGTATCAAGTTTTATAATATCAAAGATAGTTCCATACACGTAAGTGTAGATTTTTACCTTATCTTTGATATCATTGTACAGGCCAATAAATGACACAAAAATCCAGGATAATATTGGGTGCGATGTAATTTAGATGCGATGAGGTAAAATCGAAACAGCGGGCACACTGACAAATCGGCCCTGATTTAACTACACATGAGGCGACAGGAAACAATCCTATGCTCCCCACAACTGCTGCCATATTGCTCCTGATTTTAATGTCACGTGTAGCCCGTTTTATCGACAATATGTATGTAACAATCGGTTCAAAATCCTGAATGTACTGTAGTTTAAATAAATAGTATAGTAATTTCATTCCGTCCAATTAATAGGCCTTATTGACTTATTGTTATTTATTGTAGCTTTAAGACTATGTACTTAATTTTAAATTCAATTGTGACTTAATAAAGTAAATGTGCTACACACAGTTATGTACCTCGAGGGTGCTTTTTCTATATTCAAATATGCATCGAGCACAAAATATGCTGACTATGAAGTGATATGCGAGCGGTTTATATTTGTGTAGAGGAGTGTATGATAAATAGACAATAAATTTACTGTTGTATCTCTGGTAAAGTGTCTTATAAATATTTTGTTATTCATTCAGATACTCCCGTTCTTGTTAGTATCGAAATAAGAATATAGAGTTTTATAAAATGTTATGACCAATTTAATACTGAATGAGGAAATTGTAAAATAGGTCATTGCAATTTGTACTTTCTTGTTTTCCATTCTACTTATAAATTATTCAAATAAATATTATTGATTTTATAATTGGTTATTATAACTTTGTTGCTTTAGATATAAAACACTATTTGTCCTACAAAAATGTATTTGAGTTGCACCAAAGAAAGCATCATAATATTTCAATAATACCAAGATTTTAGATAGAGGGAAATCAATATCAATGCCTTTCACATATCTTTAAAATGTTTTCTTATTTATATGTTAATGTGTATTGACCCTTTTGATACATTATATACTTGAACATATCATTTCATTATAATAATTTATAATTATAATATCTCAGTATAATTTACACAGCGCCATCTAATTTCAAGCCTACTGGTAATCATTCCTGAAAAAATAATGTAATTAGGTGTATTACCTTAAGATATTGTAAACCTAATGTAATATTCCTTTCTGAAATATAAAATACTTCAATTGAATCTTGTTGACTGTGTATTACTAATATACAAATTTTGTTTGTTAATGTGTGAAAATAATTGTCTTTACTATTTCAACGAAACTATTAAAAAAAAATTATAAACTATATATTTTCGTTAACTGCATTTGCACCAACCAATATCTAAGCTTATCAATTGAAATGAAAATTTAAGTATCTAGAATGAAATAAACAAATATTGAAACTCTTTATATGAATGTCTTTAATTTCCAAATGCCCGTACCTCTAAAATAAATAAAATAATAATTTATTATTATTAATCACTTTTTATTCGCTTAAAAATCATTACAAAATATGTAATGATTTGTAAATGATTATTACCACCTATGACTTCGATTAAATACAAAATATAAAAAAATAACAATAGTACTGAGCTATTGCCATAATCGAGAAGTCGTCAAAATCTGCATTTTTATTATTATTTCTTTACGTAGTTTTTTTTTTTAATTACTTTTAAATTACAATGCATGATTTCTTTTAAATAAGCACATTATGTCTGTCATAACAACATCTAATAAAATCAAAATGCAATTTTTTTGCAAAAACATTCCTCATACTTGTTTTTGAGCTTTTTATAAATTACAAAAATAAGCAATTAACGGGTCAAAATATTTACGGGGCTAGTAATAAAAGACTCAGTGATTTCTATGTATTGCATTTAGATGCTTATGCTTACTACTATATAGATACTTGTAAGCTATTACCGTTTTCAGCTACTTAAAACATGATTAATATCCCCAATACTTTCGAGTATCATACATACTTACAGTCAATTATATTTCAATATACATATGAAGCGGTTGCTAAACGAAAACATTAATGAATTATTAAAGAAACCAAAGAGAACTAATCCAATTTCGGCTTTCAACAATCGTCGTTCATCAATCAAATGGTTATTACACGTCATAGATTGAAAAATATGGCGCTTACCGTTGGCAGTCCAGCCTGAGCGACCATCCATCAAAGAAGCGAAACAATACAAAGAGCTCATTAATTACATAATCGAAGCTAATTAAAATGTAATTCAATAAGAAATTCAATTATAAGGGAAAAGTGAGGTTAGACATTCGTGGGAAGATGCGTGGGCACGATGAGATCTGTGATTTCGTAATAGCTATTAATCTTAAATTCAATTATACGCCAATGATTATACCGATTATGGTTAGCCGGCGGATTTATTAAAAAAAAAGAAAGCCGTGACTCACGTTCGGTAGTTTTTAATTCGAGTGTATTACAACTTTGATTAAGTACATTAACTTGCGGTTCCAAAAACTACAAATGTCTAAATAGCTTAGCCCCTTATGGGTCACTATAAGTACTCTAAGAACTGTAAAATTAAACTATATCTAAACATATATTTTGAGGACATATTCTCCCAAGAATTATTTGTGAATACATACTATTAAAGAGGAGCCTTAAAACTAACGCAGATAAGTAGAAAAATAAGAAAAATGAATCCTCTGCTCGAAGTAGATTTTGTAAAAGTCATCTGCTTATGGAGCTCAATCTCATATACCAGTTGGAAAGCAGCTCACTTTAAAAGTTGTGTTTCGGTTATAGGATGAGATTAGGCAGTAATAGATTACAGATTACGACGCAGGATATCTTAGTAGAAATTGCAACGCATTAGTGGTATCAACGGCGGCCCAAGTTAACGTGATATCCCAGATGCTGTCCATGCATGTATATAGGCAGCGGTTATTCTTAGCTTAGATCGGCCTGTAACTGCAATATGTTCTATACTGGAACGTGTATCTAAAATTGCAGTGACAGGTTCCTACCATATTTGAATGGGCAGATTATCTGCCCATTCAGTGTTGCCGTATACCTTGTCAAAGGGTCCCTTAAAAGAACACCCGGATCACAAGTCCCGGTAACAGAAACTAGATATTTCCCTCTCTGCCCCATGATGAATCCGACTCCCGCACGGTGAATCCATAGAATGCTAAGAAGTTCGATTCTGAGAATGTTATCCTTTTTTATTGAACTCCATCGACAATCATACTTGGGCTCACTTTAATTTGATCATACTCTGCTTCCTTTCAAACTCTTAATCCAACTTTTGAGGACTCTTTTAACTATTTTATTGGCATAGTTATTTTAATACCACTATTATGAACAAAAAGCTTCGGGTTAAACCAATAATAAAATCTAAAGTTCAATTATCCACTTACCAACAAAATATTATTAAATCGCATGAAAAATAAATAAATAAATAATGAAAAATAAAATCAATACCCATAAAATATCTTCTCTACCATATTCTTGACATGTACAATCCGTTGTAGAACCTTGACGTCTTATAATCTATACAATTATCGTGCTTACTCAATTTCATAATTACAATATTTTTAATTAACATAAACTTCTAATTAATCAGTTATCTATTAATGAAAAATAAATAAGAACACGACTAATTTAATTGTAATCGAATTTTTATCCTGCGGAGCTCATCTGCTAGTATCCGCCTCTCCGACAGGCTTTCATTATGGATTACCGCAAGTCATAATCTGAAGCGGGTTAATGTTACTGTTCTTAATGTTTTTACCGCAAACTGGAAGCTCCATCGAAAATTTACGTAAGTATTTATATATAATAATACTATGTAACAAACATGTTTTATATATTTTGGAACGTTACAGGAAATTGCCTGATTTATATATCTCGTTACAAAAAGAAATCAATTACTCTATTTACCTATTTAGTCAACCATGTTATTCAGCCATCATCAAGTTAGGTTTATCCTAAAAACTAAAGTACTTAATGGTCTAAAATAAAATAGTATAAAACTACAGCCTAGTTAGAAATTTAAAGGTTGTTTCTTGTTTTAAAAATAAATTAAAATATATTTTCTATTACATTATTTACAGATTCTGACAAAAAAATATTGTTACTGTTTTTATGTCATTGTAGGCTTTTTTAATATTCGCTTAGCTTTTATATTTGTACCATCTCCGCGTTTATTGGGTAGGGTGGAACTTCAGCAAATCTAATTATGAGTCCATACAAAAAACACAGGCGAAATTAACATTTTTGTATGTTTTATAAAATCGTTCCAGATTCCGCTCGTGTGAAACGACCGCGCCCGTTTTTGTTATGACAGTTAATTATTTCTTTGGAATGGTCTGCTTATTAGAATTTTGAAGATACTCACTTAATTTTTATTCATCTCACTGGTTTAATAGCATAAATTATTTTTTCTGTAGAATATTTTTATCTGTAGGTAAGTACGTATAAAATAAGGAACGGTGATTAAATTTTAACGCCGCACATTCAGTTTAAACTAAATGAAATATTAATTTATTTTAAAGGAATATGGCCACATTGGAATTTTTATCTAAGTACATCTAATAAGATCTTTAAGAAAGACTTTGAAAACATATTATATAAATATTAATAAAGTTAAATAACTTCAATATTCAAAAATGTTTCATGATCTTATTCAATCTGGAACATCCTCTTTCTTTTCCTTTTTCTTTAGTATTACTTCTTTATTTATAAATAAATATATTTGCAAATACATTCAGCTCAGTCTCGAGTATACATTTAGTTAAGTACATTTCCCTATTTTACATTCAGTATATTTATATCTAACATATATTACGCCGACCCCAAATAAATGATATAAGTACGAAGCAAATGATGATATTCTATATATAAAATGCAAAAGTGTATGTAAAGACAAGAAGCATAGATAGATAAAAATAATATAATATCAGTAAGGCCAGCGGGTACTAGGAGAGCAGGGCCGCCGCGGAGGCGGTATTAATAGTAATTAAACAAACACGAAAACGGCCGGTCTCGTTAGCGTGACCACGCCCACCGCTAATCAATTCGAATAATTAATCGATACGCCCGATCATGCGCTACCCGATCGATACACACATTGAGATGGGATAACTATTGATGATTAAGTATGTCTAGAAAAAAAGATATACGTATGTACTTACAGCATATACAGATTTAATAGGAGTTATCCTAGTATTTTAAAGGATCATTCATTAAAACAAAATCCTGAGATTGCTCTATCGATGAAATGGTGCACCAGCAATCTGCAACCATGGTAAAAGATCTTCTTAAATGAAGTAATTATCTGAACAGGACAGTTGGGAAAGTGCTAAAAAAATTCATGTGCTCAATTTCATAGCATAAAAAATACCTACCAACTTAAAATATGTATATCAACTTTTTAAATTATTATACAATTCAAAGCAAAACACACTAACAGTAGTTAATAAATAAACTCGTCTACGTTGCTAATGAATTGTAGCAAATTTTTAACTTTGACGATCAATTTGAGGCAATAAACTTAATTTGTAATAACAGATATGGTTTCGGTTTAATAAACGGCGGTTGTATCAGCGTAGCATGCTTAATTTAATGATTTCTACAAAATTTCAATATATTGTTAATGAATATACGAATGCGCTAAAGGATACTGTTGGTGACTGCCGCGATCTCTGTGATATTCTTTTCATTTTTAACTGTACTCACCCCGGGTTACCAGGGTGTATTATATATATAAACCTTCCTCTAGATTACTCTAGAATCACTCTATCTATCAAAAAACTGCTTCAAAATCCGTTGCATAGTTTTAAAGGTAAGCATTAGGGACGGACAGACAGTGACCTTTATTTTGGCAACGAACAGTCGTTACTATATATATACAAATAAAAGTAATTTTAACGATAGACATTGAGGACGGATTTTTTACTTAAGACAAAACAATACAAATACAAAGATGAAAATGAATTGTTTTATACTATGTAATAAAGATATGATAATAATATCTAAGTATTACCTTTGTACAATTCACACAATGTCATGTAGTACCAAAACAAGCAGAGCTTATTTTATGGGTACTAGACAGCTAATATAAAAACTTAGATTTTTTTTGGAAATACATAAATCATATACTATATCCAGGAGGTGGTGATTGTCAGTAATGATTGTTTGCATTTAATGGAAAGTACACTAAACCGAAATTAATATTTAGGTACTTGACAACAAATGAATACAAAACCCAGAATGGCTTTGTAATTGTTAACTTTACTGTTTTATATAACGATT